ACAAATAGGCGATTTGTTTTTTAATTTTGTTTACATCATCTGAATCCTTTATTTTATCAAGCCAATAACTAATTTGAATTTTTTAATTTTATATTAAATGGATCCAAGTTTCGGCGTTGACAATTGCATTATTAAAACATAAAAATAATTATTATTTCATTTATATAAATTTACAAGTTTATCAATCACGCAAAATGTAGTTCAATGGGTACCAAACTTAAGATTTATGGTCTAACACAGAATACAGAAAATAATGAATACATGATGGTAGCTCAGTATGCCGATATCGGAAATCTTCGCAAATTTTTAAGGTTAAAATTCAAGGAACTTACTTGGCAAACTAAATTAAAGCTACTTGCTGGTATTTAAGAAGAGTTACACGGTATTCATTATGCAGAATATATTCACAGAGACTTTCACAGTGGAAATATTTTACTAGATAGTAGCATGCAAACCTATATATCAGATCTAGGACTATCCATGAAGGTGGATGAAAATCTTTCAAAAGGAGAGATTAATGGAGTCATGCCCTATGTTGACCCGGAAGTTTTATCATGCAAACAACCATTTACACATAAAGCAGATATTTACGGCCTTGGTATTATTATGTCAGAAATATCGACTGGGCAATCGCCTTTTGATGGGCGTAAATTTGATACAAAACTTGCAATAGAGATTTGCAAAGGATTACGTCCTAAATTCGCACATGGGACTCTCAAAAGTTATGTTGAATTGGTAAAGCAATGTACTGATTCAAATTCACAAAAACGACCTACTGCTTACAATGTTTTTAATGAAATTAATTATTGGCTTGATAAAATAAAAGGCTCAAACTACTTAAATGAAATTATTAAACATAAAATTAACTATTGGCTTGATAAAATAGGTTCAGATGACATAGACGAAATTAAAAAACATGAAATTAGTTATTGGCTTGATAAAATAAAAAGTCCAGATGACGTAGACAAAATTAAAAAATATCAAATTAGTTATTGGCTTGATAAAATAAAGGATTCAGATGATGTAAACAAAATTAAAAAACAAATCGCCTATTTGT